GCAGCGAGGCCTTCGGTGGGACATGACAAGTCAATTGGCAGACAACAACATCGCTTAAGGTAATGCCAAGCAACGAGCGGATGCAATAATTTGTGATGCCGAATGCCATTGGTGACGCACTTGGAGCACGGCACAAATGCACCACTACAACACATGCAGCGCCCCAAGCAGAAATCCAGCAGGCAACATCCTTTGCGGCAGAGCATCCTGCTACCTGCTGCCACATCCTGCTACCAGACTGTCAGGCTGTCAGAGCAAAAGGTCCTTCCGTAACGTCCATATTCACAGTTCATAAAATTGAACCACTGGGCGGAACTGGGCGTGGCGTGGGGCGGCTGCGGGGGCGTTGGCGGCTCAGCAAATCGAAATAAAAATTTATGTGCACATGTTTGAATTTATTGCCCATCTTTGGCAAAGAAGCAAGCGCCAGGCTATACGGACACACACATATACACGCGTGTGTGTATGTATGTATATAGCTGCGATAGCAGCACTCTGGATTTGGCGTTAGCGTGTGTAAATGTTATTCAATCAAATGTGAAATCATATGAACGATTGCTTTCCACTCATAAACATTTTATTTACCTTTAATTTCGTGCGAAGCGCCTTTTATGATTCCCTGTCGTGATTTAATGTGATTTTCCCTACGACCCACCCTCGCCACTCGCCATGCCCTACAGCATTTCCAGCTTAACATGTGTCAGAATTGTGGGCGTGGCAGTCTCTGCCGTGCAATTGTTGAATTAAACGCACGCGAGTTTATGACTAAATAAAATGTTTTGATGCGCTGCCCCGACACCTCTCACTCCCCAGCTCCACGTGAATGATATGTGGGCATTCCCACTTCGGTTTACATGGCCCGAAATGCCAATTTCTATTTACCCAACATCGACACGCACACACACCCACACAGACATGAGCTTGAAGGTCTTTAACCATAAATAAACACATACAAATTTTTCGGTTGGGCTTTTGATTTATGAAACTTTACGTCTTTTTTATTGCAAACGTTAATCAAATCTTGTGTCGCTATTGTTTCTTAGGCACATTATTTGTTTGTTATTTGAAAACAGTTCATATTTAGTTCATTTACTTAGCTATGAAGTGAGTATCGAACAGCAGCTTACCTTCGAATAAAGAACAAGGCGCTTACGTGAAAAGCACAACTGGTCGCCATTTGGAGATATGACATACAAGTTACCTAAACAGAATAAAAAATAGACAAAACTCAAGAGGATAAACCCAGTAAATCTACTAAGTCGCTTCAATGAAATTTCATATTGAAATCAGCTCTCACATCGTCTACGCCAACAAGACTCTAGTTGCACTTCCTATCATTAAATAATTTAATTTTTAATAATTTAAAAATATACAAAAATATTTTCATTTTATATAAATAAAGAAGCGAGTGTAAAAGTTGCAATGACTTCACATTTGATGTGAAAATAAATAAATAAAGCTGAAGTCGTTGAACATTGAATATAAATATAAATAGTAGTAGTCGAATATCAAATATTTTAATTTATAAATAATTACTTGAAGTTGCTTTAATCTAAGTGCTCGAGCCTCGTAATCCTCCTCCGATTTCTGCAGTTTTCACATTTAGTTTCACTTCAACAAATTCATTTATCGCAGAGCTTTGGACAGTTATAGCATGCCCAATTGCATTGTCCATTTAGATAAGAACTGATACTATATATATATATATATATATATATATATATATATTTATATATATAAGACAGCCGTTAAGAGCTCAGATCTCGACTGGCATATCCTCTGAATGTTCATTACAGCAAAGTTGCTGCCTTGGAATAATCTGGCAATTCAATGATGCAATTGAATAGCTTTGGTTTCGCCTTCTGCATTCCCCCACATTTTCCACTTTTCTTCCTTTTTCTTTTGCTGCGCATTTTGTATTTTTTCTTTTCCGTTTTTTTTTTTTCGTTTTGTTGATTTTGCGGCTGTCGAAAAAGTTGTTGAAGCGCACCTTTATTTAAATACCTCAGCCAAAACTTTTCTGAAGATATTTGCAAACATCTGTTTCCCGGTTGCCTGCACCGGGCGCTCTTCCCCAACGCTCGCCCAATGGTAGAAATCAAGCTGCAGTTGGAAAACGAAATGCAGCGCCAGCTGCCAGCTGCCAGCTGCCAGTGAAATCGCTGATGATGAAGTTCCAATGCGGTCTCTCCAATGGCTAAGCCCAGCGACAATCCTCAATCAGTCATTTGACAAGTTAGTCAGCTAAAAATACCCTGCAATTGTACTGTAAGTCAGTTAGTTGCCATAAAGTCCATTCAATAATTTATTACAAATTCTTTCAATTGCAATATTCCACAAATATTACATATGAAAATCAAAACATGATTGTTGGTAAAGATAAGTCGTTCCACTTGATTAGAGATTTTAAGAACGTTTATTATGACGTTTCACTGCTCAGATCTTAACGTAGGTAGGGTATCTTCCAGCTGACTACTGGGCACAGCAAAAGGCTCAGCTATAATCATTTCCTTGCGGCATGAATATAAAATTGTCCTTTCAGCTGGCTACTGTTGTAGGTTTGTTCAATTCACGGCATTTCCCTTAACTCTATATACCTACTGTGATTTTTGTCACAGTGTACGGCGACATCATTGAGTTCATGATGCTTTCCTTTCGGCTTGTATCTGTTAGCTGCTTTTATAATAGCTAACTAGCTGGGGCGATGCTACTATGTATTTTGGTCTGCTTAGGTTCTCAGTGATTCTCTCTGTCCAGCTCACCCGCTCTCTCTCTCTCTGGCTGCCACTGTCTCTCTTCATCTTGCTGGCAGTCTGTTTGTCCGTCCAAATGCAAGTTATTCGCATTCTTGTCCGCTGCTGTCCCACCTTTAGCTCGGTGTGTTATTATGCTGCCAGTTTTTCCTTTTAGGTTTTCCTTGCTGCTGTATTTTTCCTTTACTTGTTCCTTTTCGGTTTCCTGTAGTTTGCACACAAGTTTTTCATTTGTAATTCAAGATGTCAGTCAGCTGGGAGAACCAAAACTTAATTAAAGTTCCGCACTTTTCCGGTGGCCGGCCCAAGCGCTGGCTGCTGCACTCGCTGCAGCTGCAGCAGCTTTTACGTATGTATTTAGTTAGCCCAGCTACGCCCACTGGACACGCCCACTTTCCCACAGTTTGTCTGTCTGTCGTTTCTATATAGCTGGGTTACATTTATTTTTTGCTTTTCGCTCGAGTGGGAGGCTCTGAGTTTATCTTGCAGCTGCACTTTCTGCAAATGGCCAACTCCCCCTCAGTCCCCTTCCCGCTCCTTCATGTATGTAATTTTATGAGCTTATTTTATACTTTTCACTTTTAATTTGGTTTTATGTTCATTGCTTATAAGCCATGAACAGATTCCAACTTGTTGAATTAACAAAATGTACAGCGAGCCAGACGAAGCGGGGCGACACGAGTTGGGTCGAGTTGCGTCCAGCTCGGTCAAGTGAAATTCCCCTTTGGCCAGCTCGAAAGAGCGTGGCGTCGGCTCCATTAATTGGCACAGTTTTCTCAACATGCTGCAGATCAGTTTCACTTAGCTGCTGACCAGCTTAAGCATCGCACTTAATTAGCCAACATGGAGCATGCTCCAAGTGAGTCGACCACCCGGAATGTGCTGTTCGTTCATTAGCTATGCATTGAGTTTGGGGTATCCTTAGTCAGGCGTCAGCTGCTGGCGTCGACGTCAAGCAACTTGATAACTCGCATACAATTAGCATATGAAGAAATCCGACTAGGCCAACGCTTTGTCCTTTTCAATGCTCCTATTGTTGCTGGGCTGTCCAGGCATGCAGGCACGTGGAAAATTTATTAAATTGGTCACCTTCTGCTTCCCTATGCTGGCTCTCTTTTTCTCCCACGCACTTCCTGTGGAGCATCTGGCTGTGCGCATGCATGTAAATTTAATTGAATTACTTGTAGAGGCGAACGGCTCCTGTGGCCAGGACCTTTACAGGTTCAAGTCAAAGTATATCTCACAAAGTCATTAAAATGCCGACTGCAGACAACAGTTATGCAGATGGCTAAGCAATTTATTATGCCGACATGTTTCAAGACATTTTTCCTTAGTATTTTTCGTTACATCAAACTTTTTCTTTTTATCTTGAAGGAATAGCAAGAAGAATACAACAAAATTATTGCTAAAATTATATTTCAATTAATGATAGCCACAAGCCAAGCAATTAATGTAGATTTGAATTGCTGATGCTTGTCCAATTGTGACGAGCATTCAGAGAAGAGCCCAAAATACCAAAATATGCAAATATTCGAATGATATTGATAAGTTACGTCGTTGAAACTACATAATGTCAGTATCTGCACTAAAATGACTGGATTACATAATTGAAACTATTAATGAACTTTCTTATATATTTACATATTACGTATACGCAGCACGAGCCAAATCTACATAGTAAGTATACGCAATAGTCGACGAAAGTTTTGCCTTCATCCGTTTCGCATGCGAAACTTTCGCTGCATTTTTATTAGGCCCCCAAGGTGCGAGCGGGTGCGAGGAAGTGCCCAATGTCAATGTCATTGTCGCCATCGAGGGGCTCATAGGGGAAGGAAGGAAAAACACAAAATGCCAAATAGAAAGAACTACAAAATAATCCACTCGTTTCGCCGAGCGCAAGCACAAACACAAGCAATGTCCCCGGGGGCGTGGCTGTAGGGGGTCGATAACTAAATCAGCTAAGCGAAAGGGAGCGAGAGAGAGGGAGAGAGAGCTGCTGGCTATTGTTGCTTTTCTGGCTGCATTGGCGTCCATCGGAGGTCGAGGAGGGTCTGCCTCATTGCCCCTTCCCCTCTCCCGCTCGCCTTTGGCTCTTCAATGATTCGCATTTCTCTTGAGTTTTATTTTGTTTTTATTTTTGCGCTTTTCCATTTTGTTTTGCTTTCATGGTTTAGTTTTTATTTCACTTGCCTGCAAAATTATTTATGCATTTTGCACTTGGTCTTTTTTTGCGTCGAGCGCTTATTAGTTGCAATTTGCTTGCGGCGAAAGTTGTTCGCCAACAAGTCGAACAAATTAAATAATTTAACACAAAGAAAGTTGCAAAAATGGGCAAAAACAAGGGTGGAGGCGGAGGCGGTGGCGGTGGTGGTGGTGGTGGTGGTGGCTCTGGTGGTGGCGGCGGCGGCAATGTAAGCAATATTTGTGTTATGCAACTCTCGTTTTAATTGTGAGTCTAAGTGTCCTCAATTCAACTAGTTATAGACACAATCTACCATCCGAAAATCCCAAATACCAAAAAGATAAATCTTTTAGTATATGTTCATTTGATGCTCAAGAAATGCGCCCATTAAATGCACAGCAAAATATTTTAGGAATATTATTCATGGCATTTATTTTGTACATTACTTTGCCGAAATTTCTGAAATTTAATCGCAAGGGAGATATTTTAGGAATTCTATAGTTAGTCGGACCACATGAGAAAACAAAAATAAACAGTTTGTCAAATTTTAAGCCATAAATAGTTGACTGAAAGCCAAATTGAAGTCAGTTATAGATAGTTGGACAGCAAATTTATTTGACTAAGCTATAACTATGAAGTTTCATAGTAAAAAATATTTTAATTTCCAATCTCAAATACTTAAACCTAAATAGATAGTTTAATTGCCACTGGAACTGTGAACTCAAAGAAGTTTTTCTATAATTTCTTAAGATCTCATAGCATTACTCTGCTCATTTACTCTATTCACAATGGCCTATTACAGATGATTAAGAACATAATATAATAAATATGTATATTATATTATATTTACATTTGAATGACTACAACCTGAGAACTCTTTGCATGCATTTGATTAACCTTCGCTCAGTCGCAGCTTACTTATCATGTAATTTATATACTTACCCGTTAGCAATTCTTTTTAAGTCTTGAATTTTATTTGCTCTATTATTACTTTTTATTTTTGCAATCCGTTTTATGCTTTTCGTTAACAGAAAAAAGGCGGCGCTGGCGGCGGCGGCGGAGGTGGTAAAAACAAACCACCTACTCCACCGGCTGACAAAGGTGGCGGCAAGAAAGGAGCTGATCAAAAGGCAGCTGGCGGTGGCGGTAAAAAGGGCGGCAAGAAATAGCTCTTGAGGGTGTGCCAAAATACAAAGCGCATTAAATTACAATATAAGAATAAATACGCCACTATATTTTTAAGAGATATTAAAAGAGGAGCTTATAAATGAAGAAACTGTAGTTGAGTAACGATATTTGGCTGCATAATGAACATTGCTTGGATCTTAAACGCTTGGAATGGAACAGTTAACACACACTCGAACACACACACACAAGCACAAACACGCTCACACACCAAACACACAGTCATTACACAACTGAATAGACAGCAATGACAGTTGCTGCTGCTGGTCCTGGTGCTGCGGCTGTGGCTGCTGCAGTGGATTTCCGGTTGGATGAGCGCGTTTCGTGCACTCCACTTGGCCACTTCATTAGGCTCATCTGCTGCTGTGAGCATTCGCTGTGGCATTGATGGCAAACGGCTCTAACGGAACCACTCCTGGGACATGCCAAAGAAGGAGGCGGCGCCCGACTTGGATTTGCTGCTCGCATCGTTTTTGCGTGTGCCTGGCTTGCGCGTTGGTGTCGTTGCCCCCTATGGAGAGATATGTACGTAATATGGGTTATTAATGTGTTGTGGCAATTTTTGGTTGATTAATCTATTAATTTGCGGCACAGTGCAAAGATTTATGGGCCAGAGCAATAAACATGGACATAATTAGAGTTCAATTTATATGGTGAAACATGCGACTAACTGCGCCCACATTACCAGCAAAGTCAGCGCGGCTATAAATTAACGTTTGCCCAACGATTTGATTTCAATAATGGACCAATTCATTAATTAGCATTTAAGTTGTAGACAGACACACGCGCTCACAAACGAAAAAAGGTGTGTGGGAGGTGCAAGTTTTGGATTTCAGTTTCTGATTTCTGTTATTTGGAAATTGGCAAAACTTTTGCCAAGCATTTGCAATTGCGGGCAGCAATTTTGCTTCTATAACATCTGTAGATACTGCATTTAATTCTAATTTATTTAATGACACTTTTGCTATATTTATTGTTAATTGCAGAAATTCAGTGAGAAATAGCACTTTACCAGCTGCGCAAATTGGTTGACTAATTGTCTAATTAAAGTCCATTTTAATTAAGATGCATATTTGGAAATAAAACTGATTTAAGTTAACAAAAAGCACAGCAATAACCATATTATAATATAATAATAGAAATTAATAATAAAAAGTTTGCATAGGAGCAGCTGGTTTGTGTCTTGGCTATGCTGAAAGCAGTGCACAGCAAGCAGTTTATACAGCAATTCTCATGCAAAGCAGTTAGCACAGGAACTCGGAATAATTTAACTTTAATTTAGGGATTTATCGTGAATCTCGTAATTTAAAAATTCATAAAGCCATTTAAAAATCAACAACAATCATGCAAAAGATATAGAATAAACACAACTTAGCACACAATGCCTACCCAAAATGAATAAACGACGATAAATTTCGAAAGTAAACTACAATTCAAAGAGCACCTAAAAACAAAATATAGATATATATATAACAAGTATATTCATATAATAATAGAGTATTGGTTAAATACAAGGTAACAGTTATCTTCGAAGTACCAGAGATTATATACCCTTGCAGACATATAAGAAAGGAGATCTATATATACACAGATAACGATCTATATGATGTATCACAGGATTTTATTTGAATAAGGCTCTTACGAAAAACTGGAAAGGCAAGAGTTTGAATAGGTTTGGGAACATTTCGATTTCAAATTCGAGTATTTCAATTGTGTGACTTCCAGCACTGGAATGCTATTTAATATCAAACCAAACGTTACGCTGTCTAGTTAAGAGAAGGTAGTGTCGATCGACACAGATAATGTGCAATGCAATGCAAGGGTATAGAAAAGATAGAAATGCATAGTCTTCAGACCAGTGCATCGACTTAAAAAGAAAACTAAATACTGTTAGACGAATTAAAACAAATTATTATATGTGAAGAGAATGCATTTGCCATATTTCACATGTAAGAGTTGTAGAAAAGCAAGGTCATTGAAAAACTCACCTTGTCTGATTCCGTGGCATTGGATTTGCGTTCGACAGGAAGAGTTGCTGATGCTGCCGCCTGCGGCATGACAATAGGCAGCAATGGGAACCAGAGCGAAGTGGAGCCGGATGAACTTAGACAGAGCACATTGGGATCAGCCTCATGTGACAGCGAACTAGCATTTGCTACTTGCGTGCTATCATGAGGCGGCGTAAGGACACCAAGTTCGCCATGCAGACGCGCCGCAGAACGAGAAACATGCGTGGTTATGTGCTCGGCGAACAGCTCAAAATCAAATGGATCGATGCAGTCGCGTAGACTGCGCTGCAGCCCATGGAATCGTTCATAGAGACTGCGGTCCTCGCGATTCACGGCAAACACACGCTCCAGAAACTTAAGATCGAAGTACAGCTGCAGCGCAATGTTTTGACTGTCTTTGGTGCACTGCGCTGCTGACAGTTGCTCGTAGTGGGCCAAGAGCTGGGCGAGTAGCTTTTGATTAAAGGCCTGAAGCACTTTAGATGGCAGCGTTTGTGGTACAGCATTATTTAGCACGTGAATCAATTGGTGCAAATACGTTTGGAGCGAGAGACGTGGCTGGCTGGGTATACGTATGGTGGACTGCACACTCTGATCATGCTCCTCATCGCGCTGCTCCAAAGTCAATGTTTGCCAGAGCTGTTTAATAAAATATATTAGATTGGATTTCAGGATTAGCAAAGACAAGCTTAACATACAGCAAAGTCGCGCAGGACAACATCGTGTGTAATGGTCTGTGGCAGCTTCTCCGTGCAGCTGTGAGAGGCCAGTATATCATCGACAATGAGCTGCCAGAATTGAAGCAGCTCCTCCTCGATCAGTGCACACAAACGCTGCCAATGCTCAGCACCAGCAACTGTCAAATTTCCCGCCCATTGACGCCAGCTGCTGGGCTGGCAGAAACACAGTTTAAGATGAGGGCACAGCTCGATCAAGGCCAGCGTATTGCGCAGCGCCTGCAAAAGAGCTTGACGTTCCTGCAGACGCAGCGTCTTCAGTTGAGTCAGATAGCTCGTCATCTGCTGCTCCGCTGTCTCGCGCAGAAAATTTATCAACGCCAATTTATCCTCGGCGCGTGTTGTTTGTTCCTGTAGCAGCACATTCAGCTCCTGAACAATGGATGCTAACTGCGTGTCGAATTGAGCACAAAGTGTAATGGTGGCCGCTTCGTAGCCCTTGGTGCGGTTGGCCAAACGTTTTGGCTGATCACTAAGCGCGGCAGCTAGACTCAACGGTAGATCATCACTCTGCTCTCGCCAGATTTGCATTGGTGTGGGTTGGCTAATGTTCTCGACGAGCTTGACCACGTCTTTGTAGGTCTGCTGCATTGCTGCTACCCAGCTACTGCGTATGATCTCCCGAACGCGTGCATTGATCAACGGCATATACTTCAGTGTGTAAAAATCCAACTGAGCTTGCGGCAGCGTTAACTGCTGCTCCAGATGGGCATAGTCACGCTTGACCGTGGTGCCCGCTGCCAACTTGATATCCTGTATGGTCTGCATGCTGCTGACCAGCCCAAAGATGGGCTGTAGCTGCTTGTCCGCCAAGCTGTTAATTTTGGACATCCACTTTAACAGTGCATCGCACATCTGCTCTGGCAATAATTTTGGCTTCTCAAACTGCGGCTTATAGCCAGCTATAATGTCGGGTAGCAGATGCGCTAACTGCCGATCGCTGCTATCCATGCGATTAATACTGGGCGCCGCAGTCGGCGCCACACACTCCGCCAAACGTTTGAAAAGCAGACCATTAGCTGAAACCAAAAAGTAATATGTCTTATAAATATTCACGTATTTAATGTAGCAATCACTAACCTAACAAACAGGTGTCAAGGAGCTCAATGGTGCCGTTTAGTATATGCAAGCTGGCCAAAATGCGTTCCTTGACTCGCCTCGGTTTGTCCTTTTCGGCATCGCTTCCCTGGCTCTGCAGGCAGTTAAAATAGGCTGTGGACCGTAGCTGCAGAAACGTTTGCAGCACCTGGTCCAAATCGCATTTGTCCAGCAGCAGCAGGCTCAACATGCAATCGACCGCTATGTCGGCGGTGAGTAGCTCACGCTCCAGCACTCCGAGCACCGCCTGTTTGATGGTTATATGAAATGGACGTAGGATTTCCCATTGCTTCAGTGCCACAGGCAGCCGCTGCATCAGCGTATTCTTCGCATCGAGCTGTAGACCCGTGCTTATGTGTCTACTGAATATGAAGAGTTCTGTGGCTGCATAGAACTGCTCCCGGTCAATGTGCGTCCAAATCAGCTCTGGCAAGCTGCTCAGTAGTTTGATCTGAACCATGGTGCTGTAGTAGTTGCTTAGCTGCTTGCTCACCGCGCGCTTATGGAGCAACACTTCGGTATCGGTGGGCGTGGTCTTGAAGCCCAGCAATTGCTGTTCGTTGAGGCTGCGACAATTGCCCTGGACGCAATGGACCTGCTCGATGAGTGTGCCTGCCGATGTCTGCATGGCTGCTATGGTGTCGGCAGCCTTGAGTAAGTCCCGGTAGCGTTCGCTGCAGTTGCAGGCAAGATATTAATCCACATTTAATTATGTTGCGCTAACGTTCTATGTGCCACATCACACAGATTGCTTACCCGACCATGGTGCGCAGCTCTTCGCGCTTATTTTCCACAACTGTTTGGATTTTCTTCTGCACATCATCGATCTCGGACACGCCGTGCTGTTCGAACAGCGTGTCCACGTCTAATTGCAGTAGATCAGCGCTCATTTATTTCTTATTATCCACAAAGTGTTAAATTCTTTCGGCTTTTCTAATTCGATAACTACGATAACAATTATTGTGCAAGTCACAGCAGTTGAGGTGGTCGTCCGATAGCAACGCTTACGTTAACAGCTGTTTGAGAAACGATTATTTGTGGCGGTCGTGCGATTATTATACACTGGTCACCGATGAGTTTTAAATGCAGTTCGCGTAAAAAAATTGTTTTATTATTTACATATTTAAACTAATTGGAAATGCTTTGCAAAACACAATTGGCAATGACAATACGCTGTATCTCGGAAGTGCCCTCGTAGATTTCCGTGACGCGGGCGTTCCTATAGTACATCTCTGCTGGCAGATCCGTTGTATAACCCATGCCGCCCAGAATCTGGATGCACTGATGCGCGCAATAGGTGGCTGTCTCGGAGGCATGTAGCTTGGCCATGGCAGCTTCCTTGGTAATAGACAGTCCGTTATCCTTAAGCCATGCAGCTCGCCAAGTGAGCAGCCTTGCAGTCTCCACGCGCAGTGCCATATCCGCCAGCTTCTGTTGAATCATTTGCAATCGGGCTAATCGCTGCCCAAAGGCCACTCGTTTCTCCGCATAGTCGATCGCCAGCTCGAGAGCAGCCTGTGCTATACCGGTGGACTGCGCGGCAATGCCTATGCGACCGCAGTCTAGGGATCCCATGGCAATCTTAAAGCCATCTCCAGGCGATCCCAGCAATTGAGATTGTGGCACGCAAACATCGTCGAGCGTTAACTGGCACGTGGAGCTGGCGCACATGCCCAGTTTGCTTTCCTTCTTAGCTATAGACAGCCCAGGCACATTCTTTTCAGTCAGAAAAGCTGTTATACCTTTGTGCTTGAGGCTTTTGTCAATAGTGGCGAAGATGATGCCACCGCTGGCCTCCTTGGAGTTGGATATCCAGGCCTTTGTGCCATTCAACAAATAATCCCCTCCAGCATTCGGCTTCGCAGTGGTACTGGCGGCGCTGGCATCTGAGCCGCTGCCCGGCTCCGAGAGCGCATAGAAGGCAATGTGCTTCCCTTGGGTATAGGGTACCAGAAACTCTTGCTTCTGCGCCTCGGTACCATGTTGCTGCACTGCACCCAGATAGAGATTGTTTACGCCCATCACAATCGACACGGCCGCGTCACCACGCGCAACTTCCTCCATGCCGATAGCATACGCTTGGTAATCTAGACCGGTGCCACCTGGAAGTAGTCGTTACAATCAGGCTCTGTCTGTGCAGAAAGTCTGGGTGCAGTGCTTACCGTACTCCTCTTGCACAGCGACAGACATCAGTCCCAGTTCGCCGAGGCGCCGCACTTGCTCTGCCGGATACAACTGCTCACGATCGTGGCGTCTCGCATGGGGAGCCAGCTCCGCATTGGCAAAGTCGCGGCAGGTCTTTTGCAGGATTTGGTGGGTCTCTGAGAGGGCGGCCAGGCATGCGATGCCTCTGTCACTGCCTCTGGCAGTTCGTTGACCTACAAAATTGCAAAGCTTACACAATTTTCCTTGTTATTGTTTTTAATATATGTATTACCAAGCGCCCATGCAATTCTACCCAGCTTTTGCATGGCGTGAAAGCTTCAGCTGATTTTTGTTTTAGTTATCCGGAAAAGCTTTTCGGCGTCGTCTGCTTGGCGGAAAGGTTCTTCGCACACTGAAATCCGATGAGCAATCGAAAACAATCAGCATGCCATAAAAACTTTTATATGCAATACCAAAAGCTTTGACGTCAGTCCAAACGAACAAAGACGGCGCTGCAACTTTGTACGAGGGGACAGCTAGCAAGCAGTGCCCATTTGGCCGATCAACCGATATTTATTAATTGTTATTGGAACTTCAGCACAATAAATTGTTTATTATAAAGCAAGTTGTTCTTATAGAGACTTTGAGTAAATAAGGATACAAATTGATGAATGTGATAATATAAATTATCTTCTTTACTGCAGTCGGCCATTGCTTACTACTTTTTTGATCTTGCTAAGCAGTTTTTCTCACTGGAGTCATAAACTTTTCATTAGTGACAAAGGCCTTCCATTGCGTGTTGGCAAGCAGTTTTGTCGACAGGAGCAAAGACAACATTTTAGTAAAGAAACAAACCGAACGAAATATATCCACGTTATGGTTTAAGCTGTAGTGAAACCCCTGTTATATGTGAAAACCCTTTTACAACGCCCCTGATCTACTTAAAATACATTAAGCCCACATCAAGTAGATATTCAAGTTTGCATATTTTAGTTCTTAAGGTTCTTCGCGTTGAGCTTTCATGCCGCATACACCACGAGGTATGTACGACGAACTGCACAGTCTGAGCTCAATTAGAAATGTAGCTTGTGCTTAGGGTATCCGCTAGTCGGGCAAGCTTACAAGATCAACTGTGTTGGGTAGAAAGTTCAGCTACTAGCAGAAATGGAAAGCGGTTCAACGATTTAGTGCCATTGTCGCTACCCGCAACTGAGAAAGAAATTTACATTGCAAATCCAAGTGCAATTTAATGACTTACGCTACGCTAGGCGATAAAAAACACACCCACTTTCGCAAGCGCATTATAGTTAAAGAATCTGTCTATATAGTATATAACTTCGAGTCAAGCTACGGTTTATTTAGTTTTTTTTTTTTTGTATCAAAATACCCTTTCCCCAAAGTTCGTCTTTCGTACAATAAAATGATTCACCAGTATCTGCAGATGGAACTTAGTAGACTTTGTTTCCCACTCAACGTAGCTCATATATTATATATAGGTTGAAGTTAAGGACAATCTAGAGATTTGAACACAATTGCCGCCACAAAACAGTTCCAAATTTATTTTGACGGTTTTTTTTTAAGTTTTACCAAAAGACCAACTGATAAGAAAATGAATTATCTGATTCAACGCGGCAAACTGCGCCAGCAGGCAATCAATGTGCCCGAGGGTCTGCCGGAGCTGCTTTCCGACATAACTCGTGAAGTGCTGCGCTGTCAGCCGACCAAGGAGTGCCTGTGCCAATTCATCATCGACTATTTGCACTCGGTGATTGTCACACGAGAGAAGGCCTTGGGTAAGCTCCAGCTCCAACATATATATAAATGCTAACGAGAGTTATTTCACAGTGGCCAAAAGCATTTTGGATCGCGCTCTTCGCCAGGTGGACAGCATTATATCCGACTTGTGCGTTTGCGATCTGACCAAGGAGAAATCGGATGAGATGGCTCAGGTTATGGAGGATTGCTTCCGCAACTTCCTGGAGAAACGTCGCTGTGAGATGCGCCGCGGCAAGGAGACCATTAAGTTCGTCGACATTGACATGCTCGAGGAGCTCATACGTAAGTGTAAATTCTCCGAGGAAGAACTTGACGCCTCGCGGCCGGCAATTGCGAGCGCCTACAAGCGTTTCGTGGACGCCTACATGGCCGCAGGCAAAGAGTCCCAGGGGACTGAGCTGCTCTATCAATACTTCCGCGATCGCGAGCTCAAGCGCCTTGATGAGCTGATGCGCAATAATGCGGCCACCACCATACAATCCGCCTTTCGGGGCTATGTCGTGCGCCGCATGATGGACCAACACGTCTGCCTGTGCACCTGCATGCTCCAGGATAAGGATGACGACGAATACATGCGCCTGGACAGAGCTGCCCGCGTGCTACAGCGCTTCTTCCGCTACGTTCTAACGGTGGGTTTTCCTTTCACTATTTTGATCAAAGACAGCAGCCTAATACTCGAACTCTGAATTACAGCGCCAGGCGATTAAGCCGGTAAGTTTTGTCAAGCTCACAATATGGTCTAGTCATAACCTCTATATTGTTAGATTGGAGATCCTTGCCAGGAGCAGGAAACGCCAGATGACAAAGATGATGCCACAGCTGGAGCCACAGCTGTAAGCACAGCTTTAAGCACAGCTGCAACCACAGCTGCAACCACGGCTGCAACCACGGCTGCAACCACGGCTGCACCAACGGCTGCACCAACGGCTGCACCCACGGCTGCACCCACGGCTGCACCCACTGCCGCACCCACTGCCGCACCCACTGCCGCACCCACTGCTGTCACTTCAGCCGTTCCATCCCAAACGGACTTGGCCCAACCTGAAGCTAAGCCAGAAGAATCTGCTCCAGACGCAGCACCAGCAGCTGAAGAGCCACCAGCACCAGAGCCAGAGCCAGAAGCAGCACCAGCTCCAGCGCCAGAGCCAGAACCAGAGCCAGCTCCAGCACCGGCGGAAGAGGCGCCACCACCAGCCGCTGAAGAACCAGCACCACCCGCTGCAGAGGAAGCACCGCCAGCCGAGGAGGCACCGCCAGCCGAGGAAGCACCACCTGCTGAATAGCATTAGGTGCCCTTTTCTTTCGTTTATGTTCTCTTGTTTAAAAACGGACAGATGCTTCGCGCGTCCTTTGAAATTGATGGATTCGTGATCTTTAAGCTTGTAAATTAGTTCAACGTGAATTGCATATATTTGAAATGTCTTGAGCATATTAAATAAAAAAGCTGCTCAGACGACGTGATCGTGTTATGGAGTTAGTTGGTCGCCTCTATGCCCTGCTGTATCCAGTTCCTGAAGGTGGAAACTCTTGTGTAGACATCGGGCGAAACGAAGAGACCGCAGACGACCAAGCCATAGGACACGACTCCGACCTGCTTCAATCCGTTGTCATTGCGAACCAGCGGGCCACCCGAGTCGCCCTGTAGTTAGATGCTTTAGCTTCAAATGTCCTCAAGTACTTCGAGCGTTCTATTTTCTTACCGAGCAGGCGCCCCTGAAGATGCCTCTAGCACATATCTCCGTGTCCGTCACATATTCCATGCCACGTTGTTGACACTCCCGATTCGTGATCGTTCTGTAGCTCATGCGCTGCAGTGTATTCGGGAAGTTTAAGTTGTCCAGAAAGGGAAAGGGAGCGGGGAAACGCAAACCCCATCCGGTTAGGGTCACAGGGACTCCGCTGCCCACAAACTCATCCGAGGAAAACTCAATGGGCGCCACGCTGACATTGTTGTAGACCAGCGGCGGGTCGATCGTTAGCACTGCAATATCGCTTGTCTTCAGCGCCTTGTATGCGGGATGTATGACGAAGGACACCACCCGAGAGCGCGAGCCGCCCTTTTCATCCAGATTGCGTATGCCCGCGACGATGGACATGCGCGTTACATTCATACCATCGCAGCAGTGAGCCGCTGTGAGTATGCGATCGGGAGCTATGATTGAGCCGCCGCAGAAGTGCGCCTGTCCCTCTCCCGTTTGGTACTGCAGCGACACTTGGTAGGGCACATACTCACCCTGTGGCACATTGGAGCCGCCCACAATGCGAGTGGGAGCGTGGCCAGTGGGCTGACGTGCTGCTTATGGGAATGTCGGAAAGTGTCTGAAATTTACATTCGGCTCTTTCCATTATCCCTACTTACAATTGTGACGTGCCGTGGCGCTGCCTAGGGACAGAGCTATCCACAAAATGAGTTCGATAAGAGCCATGTTTGCTTGGGTTATGCACATCTCTTGTTCTACGGCTCAGCCTATTTATGGGATTCGACGCGAAGCACATTGCGCTAAAAATTTGCATAGATAATGCAGAAGTTATGCCATTAGTTTTGATCTTGAAATTCAAAATTGCGTCAGCCTTCATGCCGGTAATTGGCATATGCTTCATATGCATCACCCTAACCCAGAAAGCTACAATTAGTTGATAAGCTTTGGAGGCTAACAAGTTGGCTCGTTAGGGAATAGAAAGAGTATCTGAAAAAGAAAACTATAAGTGAATACTTGATTGATTAATATTTAATATATCCACAGCCTGACTTTAGAGTAAAGAGCGAGAGCCGCTCTTAGAGTATTAAGCCAGAGCTGATCTGAATCGCCTTAAAATTCTTCAATTTATTTCATCCATTACTTTCGCTCAGCTTTTGAATTTTTATTTTTATTTGCGAGTCTCTTAAGTGGGTCAACGATTATCTTAGTTCCCGATTGGCGAATCTTAAGCAATAACATGTCATTGGAGAATAGCAAAAGTCGCTAATCTAACCGACTTTATGCAAAACTCAAAATAGCCCATTCAAGTGGGCACAGTTCAATGCTCAAATGTTGCCACTTGAATTAACATATTTTTTAAATTAAATTTAGAGAAGTCACAACTCTAATAATTTAATATTTATTCAGTTTTCTCAGCTTAGATATTTTACAATTTATTTAATTATTTTGCGACGCCATTCACAAACGTGTGCATAGAGACGTGCTAATCTATGCACATATTTATTTACCTGGATCCAGATCAATAAAAAAAACATTTAGCTCATAACGGTCTCACAGAATTTTGTCTCTGGAATCTTGTCTTTAAAAACTTTAGCATAAAATTTCATTGACATGAATATTCGTTATAAAATTAACGTGTCATGTTGGAGGCGCTGCTTATAAAGGGCATTCGGTAAATGGCCATCGAAACATTTGTGGTTTGGAGATGAATCTGCTCGTAACGTTTTCTTGGCTATGTGAGAAGGATTTCGTATAAAGTGAATTTGTATTCAAATTCATTCTATTTCCTAGGCCTCATCCTCTTGGACAGCAACAACAGCAGCAGCTTTGCAGATAAGTACAACAATATCGATGTTGGTCGGACAATTTCTATAGAGATTCCAAATAGTGGCTCGTCTAGTGGACGTCAGAAAATCGAACAGAAATTCTTTCCGTCATCTTATTTCTATTCACATTTTCCACCCTATCCACCAAGTGGCTGTTTCTGTCCGCCGGGTCCGCCGGGACCACCTGGGCCGCCAAGCCGTCCTGGCGCTCCCGGTAGACCGGGTATTCCCGGCCAACCGGGCATCCAAGGTCCGATTGGACCCGCGGGTCCACCCGGTCCTAAAGGCGAACCGGGAGCTATGGGAGATCCTGGAGAAAAAGGTGAAATGGGACCGCCTGGGCTCAGTCTTATCAGACGGCGCAGAGACGGCATTCCTCAAACTGCAAACAAAGGCATTAGATCGATTGAGGAAGCAGAGAAGTTTTCAGTATTAAAAGGTGATCCAGGAGATATGTGGGAACCAGGTATGAACGGAGAAAAGAAACAGCCAGGTGAGCCTGATACTCGTCGACAGCCCAGAGATGACAATTCTCAAGTGGACAAAGACGTAGGATCAATTGACGAGCCAGACAAACCAGATCTAAAAGAAAGTAAAGCAACATGCTTCAAGTTGTGCGAACAAAAACATGTAACTGTGTAACTTTCAGGATGAATTTATGAACTGCTTGCTAATAAAGGTACATCACTGCTTGTTTTGAAATATGAACTGCTTTAAGGAAATTAACAAACCTAGCTTGAAATCCGTTAAAGAATTTTTGTATGGAAATTGTTATATTAAAAATGGGAATTCGGGGTCGACGAGCTGAGTCGATCTAACCCTCTTCGTTTGTCTTTCTGTATGCTTGTTTGTCTAACTGTATATTTGAATAAGTTAATCTCAGAACCTTTAAGAGCTATAGACGATGGCTGCACTTTGGGTTTTCATATGGGAACTTAATTGTCAAATAACTGTTGTAGACATACTTTCTTAGTCGACTTTCAGAGTGTATCTAGTATTTTCAATACAACAGGAGACATGACGGCACAGTTCAATGTGGGCACAGCTTAATGCTCAAATGTTGCCTATTGATTGGCTTAACATATTTTTTAAATTAAATTTAAAGAAGTCACAACTCTGATAGTTTAATATTTATTCAATTTTCTCAGCTTAGATATTTTACAATTTATTTAATTATTTTGTGACGCCATTCACAAACGTGTGCATAGAGACGTGCTAATTTATGCACATATTTATTTACCTATTTTCCAAATCCATAAAAAGAACATTAAGCTCATAACGGTCTCACAGAATCTTGTCTCTGGAATCTTGTCTTTAAACACTTTAGCATAAAAGCGATTCCATTGACATGAATATTCGTTATAAAATTAACGTGTCATGTTGGAGGCGCTGCTTATAAAGGGCATTCGGTAAATGGCCATCGAAACATTTGTGGTTTGGAGATGAATCTGCTCGTAACGTTTTCTTGGCTATGTGAGAAGGATTTCGTATAAAGTGAATTTGTATTCAAATACATTCTATTTCCTAGGCCTCATCCTCTTGGACAGCAACAACAGCAGAAGCTTTGCAGATAAGTACAACAATAACGATGTTGGTCGGACAATTTCTATAGAGATTCCAAATAGTGGCTCGTCTAGTGGACGTCAGAAAATCGAACAGAAATTCTTTCCACCATCTTCTTATTTCTATTCACCTTATCCACCCTATCCACCCTATCCACCAAGTGGCTGTTTCTGTCCGCCGGGTCCGCCAGGACCACCTGGACCGCCAAGTCGTCCTGGCGTTCCCGGTAGCCCGGGCATTCCCGGTCAACCGGGTATCCAAGGTCCGATTGGACCCGCGGGTCCACCCGGTCCTAAAGGCGAACCGGGTGCTATGGGAGATCCTGGAGAAAAAGGTGAAATGGGACCGCCTGGGCTCAGTCCTATCAGACGGCGCAGAGACGGCATTCCTCAAACTGCAAAGAAAGGCATTAGATCGATTGAGGAAGCAGAGAAGTTCTCAGTATTAAAAGGTGATCCAGGAGATATGTGGGAACCAGGTATGAACGGAGAAAAGGAACAGCCAGGTGAGCTCGATACTCGTCGACAGCCCAGAGATGACAATTCTCAAGTGGACTTTGTGTCTGAGGACAAAGACGCTGGATCAATTGATGAGCCAGACAAACCAGATCTAAAAGAAAGTAAAGCAACATGCTTGAAGTTGTGCGAACAAAAACATGTAACTGTGTAACTTTCAGGATGAATTTATGAACTGCTTGCTAATAAAGGTACATAACTGCTTGTATTGAAATATGAACTGCTTTAATGAAATAAACCTAGCTTGAAATCCGCTAAAAATTATTTGTATGGAAATTGTTATATTAAAAATGGGAATTCGGCGTCGACGAGCTGAGTCGATCTAACCCTCTTCGTTTGTCTTTCTGTCTTTTTTGTCTAACTGTATGCTTGAATAAATTAATCACAGAGCCTATATGAGCTACAGACGAAGGCTGCAGTTTGGGCTTTAATATAGGAACTTAATTGTCGAATAATTGTTCTTGTAGACATACTTTCTTAGTCGACTTTCAGAGTGTATCTATTATTTTAAATACATTTTTATTCAAATTTTTGGGGTAGAGACGGAGGTATCCAAAATCGGAAATATTCAAATTGTATAACAACGCAGATCGGATCCACGACTATAGCTATTTTACTTATTATTGTTATTGTACCCTGAATCATTTGACAGCAAGAGACGTGACGGAACGGCGAGATTTAGTTGATTTAGCCATGTCCACCATGTCCACACGACTTTGTTCTAAATATGACTATTTATTATTGTAACTAACATTATTATTATTATAATTTTTGAAGACGTCACATAATAAAGTGAGCTCTTCATTAGCTTAAAATCATAACTTTTTAGCCGATAAACCCAATTAGCTTATTGTTCTCAAAGGCGAACCGAACAACAACAACTACGCGCTCCGCCCAATGATATTTAAATCAATTATCAATTTTAAATGCTTCCATTCTTTCGCAGTCGGAATGATGCTCAGCCAATTTCTGTTCAGCATAATCCGAAAATATATTTTTGATTGTGGACAGATATGCAGCATAGCCTAGCATACGGTGCCTATATGCCTAGGCATATGACAATAATTTGATTCTAATTTCTTGCACGAGAGCTAAAAACGAGTTTGTAAGATCATAAAAAGAACTGTTAAATAAAAACGATTTGATCTGCATTACAGTTAACGGTTTGATCAGGTTTCGATATTCGAAAGGGATTTTATTAGAATACTGTGGCAGCGTTCTGTTGCTATAAAAGACATCAATTACATGTTGTTCTTGGCAAATAAGTTTCAGTCATGATGCAGGTTGTAGCGCTCATCGGTCTATGTAAGTGTTGCACAGCTGAATCCTTCATATACAAATTGCTTTACAATCTTATGCCTTTCCAGATTTTGCTATCGTTGGGGGATCTAGCTTATCTTCCCGAAATCAGAACGACGAAGGTGCTGGAAGACTTCTGTCAGTTCAGTTGCCAGCAGCCGCTCCCGCTCCACCGCCTCCTCCACCAAATGTGATTATCAAGCGGCCAATCCACTACCATCCGCCGCCGCCGCCGCCGCCGCCGCAGCCACCGCAATTGCCACCTTTTTACCCGCCACCGCCGCCAACTCCACATCATCATCATCATCATCCGCCTTCGAAATGTATTTGCCCACCTGGGCCACCCGGACCCCCAGGTCCCCCCGGACTCACAGGTATATGTGCTCAATTCGACAATCTCAACGTTATTAAATAGCAATGTAATTACACAGGCATGACCGGAAAGCCTGGGCATCCCGGCGGCAAGGGTGATAAGGGCAATGATGGCCAGAAGGGCGATAAAGGAGACACAGGAGAGAGGGGTGAGAAAGGTCACCCTGGTGCGCAAGGAGTTCAGGGACCACAAGGTGCTCAAGGGCTGCAAGGCCTGCCCGGAGCGCCAGGCTCGCAAGGTTCTCAAGGACTGCCAGGCTCTCAAGGCTCCCAAGGATCTCAAGGCAGCCCAGGTACACCAGGCATACCAGGACCTCAGGGACCGCTAGGACCACCCGGTTCATCTGGATCAACAGGCTCGCCAGGATCTCCAGGCGCTCAGGGACCACCAGGAGCCCCAGGACGACCAGGACTGCCATCGTCACCTACGTGGCCCATACCACCACCTCCGCACCATCACCAGCCCCCACCAATAATCTATCCATATCCTCTACCTCCGCACAAGGGAGATCATTACCATCATCATCACCATCATAAAGACGGACATCGGCCAAAGCCGCATAAGCCCACAAAGCCCCATAAGCCTCATAAGCCCACAAAGCCCCATAAGCCTCATAAGCCACACAAGCCTCATATAAAGCCCCACCCAACTTGGAAGCCTCCCATGCCAACTCATAGACCACCGACAACAACAACGGAGACACCTGAGGAAACCACTAATAAGCCAATGGCCACAAGATATTTAAATGGTGAAGAATCTGTTCAATCTCCCGAAAATGATTTAGAAGATGATCAGCAAACTGAGAAGCCAATGCTCGAAGAGGATAACAACAGCGAAGAAGTTGAAGATGACCTTATTGAGGAGCATGCTAAAGAATCAATGAGCCACGAGTCCACTAAAATAAAAGCAGATGTAGGCGAAGTAGATACTGGAAAAAATAGCGACGAACATGAAGATAACGAAGATCGGGATGAAAACGAGAGCGAAGATAACAGCGACTTAGAAACGGACAACGTTAAGCAAGCAGTCGACGACTATATAGCTCAGGCAAGAAATAGAAATAGGCCGATTATCTTATCAATAAGCAGACGGCGTAATCCATTTCACATATATAGAGACTACATAGATTATTAAACGTATCATTAACTAAGGTTTTATAATAAAAAGAACAAATGAAAAACATTTTAAGACATTACGAAAGTTTGGAAATCCCATTCAAACTAAAATGTTGACTGTTTGGCAAGATTTTACTTCCAGCCTGAAAGTATGCAACAAAAATGCGACTGCTTGGTAAGTATGACATGAACTGCTTGCGGCTGATCTTAACTGCTTGATATGCCCACAACTTCAGTCGATCAGTATGTACATCGACGAAAATGTCGAGGGTGAAGAAGACAGAGATGAAATCGAGAGCGAAGAGACCAACGACCTAGAAACGGACAGCAGTCGAAGACTATACATATATAGCTCATGCAAGAAGCGGAAACAAGCTAATTATCTTATCAATAAGCAGACGGCGTAATCTATTTCACATATATAGAGACTACATTATTATACGTTATCAAATTTATCATTAGCTAATTTATTATTATAAAAATAGCTTGGAAATCCAATTTATCAAAATATCCTAATCTTGATTGCTTGGCAAGAATTACACTTTCAGCCTGTGAATATGCAACAAAGGAGGCAACTGCTTGCCAGTATGCCAGTGACTGCTTGCAGCTGTTTTCAACTGCTTTATGAAGCTCTCAGCTCTCATTTAATGAATTTGAATTTATTTTAAGATTTTTAAAATAATTTTATATTGTATCTGGATTTCGTTTTCTTCTCTAGGCCATGCGTTCCTTTATCCAGGTATTAAACATCGAGACGCGCGTGTAAACATCGGGACTGTTAGAGGCGCAGAATGCAGTGCCATATGAGACGACGCCCACCTGCTTCAGGGACTCGCCGTTAGCCATAACCAAAGGACCACCCGAATCGCCCTGAACAGAAAGAGATATGCATAATTCAGTTGGATAATCATCAGCAACAGCTCACATTGCAGGCACCCTTGCCAAAACTTTCAAGCGCACAAATCTCTGTATCCGTCAGCTGCGTCATAGTCTGCTTGCACTTGTTATTATCCAGAGTCTTGTAGGATAGCTTCTGAAGAATGGTTGGATACTTGGCAAAGGGCCCGGTGCCAAAGTGAAAAACAGAACCCCAACCAGTTAGCAACACCTCCTGATCAGCTCCGACCAGATCATCGCTGCTCACATCGATGGTGCTAACGCGTTTGTCATCTATTTCGAAGGGTGGATCGATTTTCAGTATAGCTATATCGCTGGTGACCAACTCCTCGTAGTGCTCGTTCATCTCGTACGATTGCACCTGGGCGCGTTTTCCGCTGTCGTCGTTCAGATCCCGTATGCCTGCCACCACGCTAATCCGGCTCGCATTTTGCCCATTGACGCAGTGAGCCGCGGTTAGAACTCTGTTCGGGGCGATCAGGGAACCACCGCAAAAGTGTCGCATTTTGCCGCTCTTCGTGAGAAATTGCATAGAAATCTGGTAGGGCACATACTCATCCTCGGGCACATCGTAGCCGCCGACAACACGCTCCTGCGAATTGCTATCCGCATCCTCAAAGTAGGCATCCACTTGGGTTTACAATGTGGATTAGGCAACACTTTCTCTCTAGGCTATTCACGGCTACTTACAATCTATAACTGTGCCCGTGGGCTTTCCAAATGAGGACTGCAACGATGCCAGCGAAACGAGGAGCACGACACAGCTCCATTGATTGACCATGTTGAGGCTTTGCATTAGAACACTGCACTGTTTGACTGCGATGAAGAATTGTTGGGCTTTTATATGCTGCACTTGGCGCTCATTAGAATTTTAATCGAATGCTAAACGAGGCGTTAGCTGTGGGCGGTCTGATCACATATGAATAGGTAACAAGGTCGTTCCATCCAAAACGATAAGCCAATCAAATGTGGCACATTGCGTGCTAGGTAAAACCAGCTGGTATAGTCCGCATATGGAAATCTCAACTCCAAAGAGTTACAGCTGAGAATTTCCCAGCCTAATGAGCTAACATGTGGATTAATCTGTCAAGACAGAGCTGCTAAGGCCTCGCATGCAAATTGAACTTGGCAGCTAAAAATAATGCAAATCCTGTCACGTCAGGCGGCTTTGGGGCAGGGTGGTCCAATTAACAAACGCCAGGCACATCCTGGCCCGAACAGAAGAAAAAGAAGGCATAATAAAGCCATTTCGGGTTCAAATCGGTTCGTAGTGAGCGCCAAGAACCAGAGCCAACAATTAACACAGTAGTCCAAAGATCAAGACCTCAACATGCGACTACCCAGAAAACGAAGAGGTGTGCATAATTAATTCCCGCCACACACACGCCGACAGCTGGCTGGACGGACGTTGTGCAGAGCCGTGCAAAATGATTCATTAGCTGGCTTGCAATCAGGCCGGAACTGACATTTGGCAGGCATCGGGATCGACAGAGAGATAGCCCCAGTCTGTGTCCTGTGCCCGCCCAGACGTTGCCAACTTGATTTGCATCGAACATGTGAGCCATAAAAAGAAGATAGTCTGCAGCCAAAAAGGTGTTGATTGGCCAACTGGGCTCCAAGTGGGCTCCAACGGCTCTCCAATTGCTGCCCTTCTCGCTTGCAACAATGAATTAAAAGAAATGTCCGCTGCCAAACCAGCAGCTTGTTTAATCGGAATATTTAAATTATTCATTGATTAAAACTGCAACCAGATCAAGCTGCAGCCACACACACAGGTAGCTACCTCCCTCCCTCCCCCTCTCATTCTCTCTTTGTAGCTCTCGTGGCACTTGTGTCTTTTTGTGCTTGTGGTTTCAATTTGGTTGTAGGTGTTGCCTCTTGGCCACAGACCAGAGTCTCTGTAGGTGCCATTCCCAGGAATTGAGGAAACCGCTTCAACTGCCTGCCGCCCTCTACTCCTCTGCGCAATGCCACCCAAAATAAGACACACAAGCAGCTGCAGCCACAAAGCGCAAATGGCATGATTAATGCATTCGCTAAGCGACTCGCAATCAGAACTGCAATTGAGTTGCCTCAACAGCCATTTCAAATGTTCTTCAATTGTTTGCAAACAAAGAATGTTGGCGATTTATGCACCAGCCCAGGTCCCAAATATACTTTATGCCATTGAAGAACTGCAAGTTCATGTGTGAATAACATGAAAGAAAATTGACTTTACTTTATGTGCAACGGGGAGTTCGAGAAATTGCAAATTTATATTATAATCTCATTCATTTCGTTGTTTGTGCGTGTAGTGGAGATAACTCGCTCTGAAAGCTATTTCTCACGGTGTAGCTTGCTTCATAAGTTTCATATATATATATATATATATTTTTTTTATTTATTTATTTGTTTGACAATGTCTTGATGCACCCAAGCGCCTTCGACATCTATGTGGATTTCCTGTTGGATGCCATTGACTTATCTATTAATTCCTATCAAAAGTATTTCCAACTATATATTTTGCAATTATCATACCTTAGGCTGAGACATACTATATGAAATAATGCAAACTTGCATTAGGCATCCTATGCCGTCTGCATTTCACTTTATAAGCCAACCTCAGGTTCTGGTTCTGGGCGCACGCAGTGGGACAACTGTTGCCGCCTGCTGTTTTGGGTGTGCGTGCCAGATAATCATAAGAGATATCTTGCAGATGAGCTGCTGCAATCATATTCTCTCGCCGGGTTGACAGAAGCGCCTACCTGTTGTCATCAATTAGGTAACAAGCACACGCAGCCGATAAATATCCTCTGTCCGTATGCATATCTACAAATGGTTCAAGCTGCTCGCTCTGATCCAAGATCTCTTATCTGACTCGCAAATAAAAATGTATTTCATGTGGCCCCATCGCCGGCAGAGCGAGAGAGGGAGAGAGCGACGGAGTCTGTGTATTCCACTGCACTCATAATTTATAGTGTTTGCATATGGCAAAGATTTGGCGGGGAGTTACCTGGGCGAGTGGCTGGCAAATTAGGTACTAAAATAAACGACCAATTTACTGATTATGCAAAACATGCAATTAATTTATTCCACTCCACATTTATTCCAAAACTTCCATGCGATGGCATTAACTGCAACTTGTTGTTGTTATTGCCGTTGTCTCGCGAAATTGTCGTAGCGAGTGGGGAAAATTAATTGCTGCAACAAGTGGAAAATTTATTTGGAATCGCGCTGACAAACCGACAAGTAGAAAAAGCTTCGACTACTGCTGCAGGCCAAGCATAGGCCTAATTTATTATCTATAATCGTAGCTGCAATAATTTGCATATTGCGATTACTAATTGGCTTAAGTATAAACTATTTGCTGTGCTGATTGCTTGATTGAAGTGAGTCCGATATTGCCAAAAACTGAAAGCGGCTTCAAGCTTAGCTCTGGGTTAATCGCTCCTCCTCCTGGGCAGTCGAAAGCTAGACTGAAGTGGGAACAAAGCTCAGCTTTTGCTTTAAAAAAAGGTCAAAGGCTTTGAATTATATTTGCATATGCACTAAATGTCCATAAAGGCTCCACTCGGCCGTGCAATGTCTTTTGTTTTTTAGGTAAGGCAAAGACCTGTTCGGAGCACACGTGCAGTTCACAATTCCATGTTCAAACTTCGAAGGGACTACTGTATTTTGAAGGCCCAGTTGCTAGCTGCCAAGTGGAGTCATAAAACGAGCGGCGTTGCTTTCAGAAGCCGCATATAAATCACATTGAGGCAAGCGGTCGGGCAATAAAAATTGCAGTTGCTGAATATTTTCGTGTATTTCTTAGCCCGGCCACACGCACAATTCCGTAGAAGTTGGCCGACAAACAAGGCCGCGCGAATGAGCCGGGCCAATCAACCAAAATGTCATAATAATGATGGCGTTCCGGGCGGATCCGACTGGAAAGGATGCTTATCTTGTTAACACCGCGTACCTTTTGCCCGGCTGGCGTTAACTGCGACAAGTCCAATAAAAAATATCGGGAAACGATCTAAAGAAGCGAATATGAAGTGCATTTCGTTTCTCTTCTTTTAGCAGGAATTTCGTCAAGGGAATTGGCAGCAAATTAATTAAGTTCTCAGTGGGAATACGAATTCATACAAACATAAATATATACATATAAATATATTTGTAGCTTTGTGTCCTAAGTACAGAGCTTGCAGCTTGTTTCAATAATAGATGTGATAACGCTCAACAGTCGCTCGATCAATCATTTTGTAAAAGCAATTAAGCCGCGTTTCAAGTCAACTGGCAACGCGTTTAAGGCCCTGCTTAGAAGGCTTAGCCTCGGCCGGGGCGCAGGTGTCGCCAGCGACAAGAAGCTGGAGGACAAGTTCTTAACGTCTATAAGCAATTAAAGCCACAAATAAAGCGCGAGGCGATAAATTTTGTTAAGTGCGTTCACATGAAAGTTGTCAAAAAGCGTTTGAGAAATTTTCACCGCTAGCGACACACACACACACGCGCTCAGAAAAAAGCCCACAAAAATCTTAAGACATGACTTTGGATGTTTATCAAACACCTCTGCCAATGCGTGAGGCCTCGAGGTGTGGCACCAAGCATGCCGCACGGCTCCATGCTACACGCAAGCCCCAGACCTCAAAGCGACTGAGCCCAAACTTGGGAGACGTCGACGACGACATCGCCTGATAGCCAGGCGATAAGCAACATTACCGTACAATTTTCAATTAACACGAGGCAACTGTAAAGAGCTGCGGAGCAGCTATGCCGCATGCCATTCCACATAGCCCGATGGCCCGTGCTTGCCTCTGCCACCAGTGTGGCGCTTGCAGGCAAAAGCGAACAGACTGCAGCTCCTCTACAAATTGTCTAATCTCCGACTGCGCCGCAGCTCTGGTCAGTCGGTTGGCTATTTTGCTGTTGGTGCATCGATCTCTGGTAGCCAGAGCACCACCAGAGCTGACCACTGTAGACAATTTATCATTTGAGCTGCCGCCTAGTGGCGGTCGTAAAAGCGCTTTATGGCTGCTTCTGCTGCTGCTGCTCCTGCACCGGCACTGGTACCGTCTGCGGCTCCTGCTCCGACCATATCCAGCCAGATCCACATACTCTTGGCCAATTGCTTTTCTACTCGCGTTTCACTTTGACAGTTTGCATTGAGCTGTCATTCGTTTTTATGCACAAAATGATTTACTTTAACTCTTCTATACGCTACGCTATGCTCAGCAGTTCTGTCGACTTATGTACCAAGAAATCTACAAAATTTCAGTTAGTGAACAAAGCTCCCATCAGGCTCTCCGAAAAGGCATAATAAGCAAACCAAATTTCTATCGTATTCAAGCCAAATATTTTCATTTGTCTATTTCGTTTACTTGACGTGAAAGTACGTTGGGATTATTCAGTCATTCAGTTTTTGGTTAAGCTTTCCAAAAGCTTGTATTTTCTCAAAGCATTTTAGTTTTTTACAAATTTTGAGGCAATGATTGTTCTGCAACGATTTGGTCGCGCCAATCCCTCACTAAGCCAATGTTCCGGTGGTCATCAGCAGGGCTGCAACTTATCGGCGCTGCAACAACGCTCGTCAAGTAGTAAGAAATTCCTAGTAGTTATGTTGCGGCACGGCGAGTCCGAGTGGAATCAGAAGAATCTATTTTGCGGCTGGTACGATGCTCCGCTGACCGAGAAGGGAGCCAAGGAGGCGACTTTGGCAGGCAAGGCCATCAAGGATGCCAAAATTAATTTCGATATAGCGCACACGTCGCTGCTCTCACGAGCGCAAGATACGCTCAAACACATACTGAAGGAAATTGGACAAGAGTGCATCCCAGTCCACAAGACTTGGCGTCTCAACGAGCGCCACTATGGCAATCTGACGGGACTCAACAAGGCGGAGACGGCCAAGAAGTATGGCGAGAAACAGGTGAAGATCTGGCGTCGCAGCTACGACACGCCACCGCCGCCCATTAAGAAGGATAACAAGTACTATGAGTGCATAACCAAGGATCCCCGATACTGCGAGGGACCTCCGCCCGAGGAGTTTCCCAAGTCCGAGTCGCTGAAGATGACAATTAAGCGTACCTTGCCCTACTGGGACAATGTAATTGTGCCCCAGATAAGAGACGGCAAGAAGCTGATCATTACCGCACACGGTAATAGCCTACGAGGCATAATCAAGCACCTGGACAAGATTTCCGACGAGGCCATCATGCAGCTGAATCTGCCGACGGCTGTGCCCTTCTTCTATGAGCTAGACGAGTGCATGGTGCCTCTAGCACCCATGAAATTTCTGGGTGATCCCGAAACCGTTAAGAAGGCAATGGAGTCTGTGGCCAACCAGGGCAAAGCTAAGTAGATTTCCCTTATCGGGGGCTTGGGGAGCCGAGGTTTAGCTATGTTTGTGGCAGAACGCAGCCAAATAAATTGCCATAATTACGAAAAGAAGGTCAAAGTAATATATTGCTCAATGCACTTGCAAGTGCCACAATCTGTGTTTGTATCTGAATCCGAATCAGAGTCAGAATCGAAATCGGAATCGGAATTCAGAGAGAGCGAAAAACGCGAATGTCAAGCAGCAAATAAATTTATTTGATTTTAATTGACAATGAAAAGTCAACAAAGGCTGCCAGACCGGAGTCATGCTGAACATATATATCTATATGCATATATAATATATATATATATATATATATATGTATATATATGTATGCATGTGTGTGTGTACATGGCTCTCTGAGATATCTGGCTTCAGTCTGCAGTCTCTCGACCCAATCCCAGTCTTATTTCGACGTCAATTTTAATTGTTGTTGCCCGGGCTCAGTTGGAATTTCTGTTGCGCGACATTCAAATGGGTCGAATTTTAATTTGTTTAAATGAAATACTCATTTAGGCTTTATTGACAAACAAATTGAATTGATTGATCTAAATGAATTTATGCGGTCAGCGACGAGCGTCTAACAAATACACACATTTCCAATCTCTCTCGAGCGCTCTCTTTCTCTTAACCTTTCTTTACCCCTGAGTCTCGACTCACACTCAGAATAACTGAGACTTGTATTCATATTCATACTCATAGTCGTATTAGTCAACTATAATACTTGAGTCACTGCCTATTTGTACTGGGCATTACGAGCAAAGGCGAATCGTGTTGAAGTTTAGTTTAGCTAATTGGGTTGGAATACACACTAGGAATACTTAAGACAAGCTTAAAGTGAATTGGGTTATTCCAATTAATGTCGAGAAGCATAGAAACCGAAATTTATTATTACTAAGTTATGCGATTGGCATGAGTGTGCAGCAGCTGGTTTAGTATAAATATTAGTTCTAGTCAACTAGGCTGATCAAGGGGACAGCTTTTGACAAGAGTAGTCGATGAGCCTAGCCTGTTAGGCTTATTCTAAATTTCAATTCAAATGCAGCAAGTGGAAAACATTCGTTAAAGGAACATTTTTAAATTATGCTCAAAATTTGTTAGCCTCTTTTATAGCCTACTACAACCTGGGTCTATTGATAACTTCAGCTAAAGCAAACCCATTCGCACATTCAATCAACTATAGTTCTTAAAGTCTCCTTATTGTCATGTTTTCTTAAAGACTTGGACAAAAGAATACTAAAGTAAGCTCTCGAATACTTTATCAAGTCTGTAGCTTTAAGAGAAATCAAAGACGTATTTAAATAATTAGAATTGAAATTTCAGCAACGATAAGCTCAATCGCAGTTTTAAATGAATTGAGTTGACTATTTCGGCTGTTGAAATATCGCAGAAACTAGTTTCAGTTCTTAGGTCTGTTGCGGGCAAATCGAAAAGCGTGAGCTCCATATTATTTGGAAGTTAATTATGTAACTGGAGAGACGAGCTCTTCCGAGTTGGTTCCACTACAAATACGAATGCAGCATAGAAATTGAGGGAACATAAAAATGTTTGCACTTCGTATTTGTCGCACATAAAATCTAATATCGAATTACAAGAGCCGCGCCACAGTTCCATGCAGCATGGTGCATGCAACCGGTGCAAGGGGGCAACCGACTGCAGTCTGTGAAGCGTGCGTGTTAGCGAAACTTTGTCTGTCTGACTAGTTGGCTGGCCGCCTGTCTGGATGGCTGACAGTCTGCCTGGCCGCCTGGCAGGCGTGCCCCCAGCTACAAAGCTGCGGCCCCTCGCCTGCTCTTTGGCTGCCCATAAAGAAACTGAATTGAGTTAAATGTGCGATAAATTGCTTTTTGCATTTATCATGGTCCACAAGCTGGAGCCGAGCCAGAGCCGACCCTGAGCCAGGGCTGGGCCTAAGGCCGTGCAGAAGATGCTGCCAGCCCAACGACTGTGGCGAATATTGAACAAGATTTTTAATTAGCCGCCAAAAAAAAAAGCAAAAAACGAAGAACTTAAAGAAAATGTAAGTCTTAGCAGAATTTATTGTTTAGGCGTTGCGACTGGGCCCAGATCCTGGTTAAGGATCGTGCTGATGTAGGGCAAAAAGCTGGAGACACGCGTATAGACATCAGGCCTGCCCTGGGCACAGGTGGCGCTGCCATATGACACAATGCCCACCAACTGGTGTTGCCGGTTGCCGCCGCTTGCCAAGATCAGCGGACCACCCGAGTCACCCTGAAAGTGCCAGCAGATGATGCAGATTAGCTTGGCAAATCCCTGTGGAACGAGTCAGTTACTCACCATGCAGGCGCCCCGGCCCGGTGCGGACAGCGCGCAAATCTCGTTGGGCGTGACGCGAAAGCCCCTCTTGACGCATTCCTCATTCGAGATGGTCTGATAGTTAAGCACCTGCAGGCGATCCGGCAACTGAGTGCCCGTGCTGCTGGCCGTTGTAGAGCCCCAGCCGGTGAGCCGGACAGGCACATGGCGACCGATTCGCTCCGTGCCACCCAAATGTATCGTGGATACCTCGGCCCGCTGCAGCTCAAATGGCGGACTGACCTTCAGCAGGGCAATGTCATTGATGATGCGTGGACTCATAGCATATTGCGGATGCACATGCTTGGCCACAATCTTGTGCCTCTGGCCGGCCTGCTTCCAGTTGAGTACGCCAGCGAGCACACTAAGGCTGCTCACCTCCAGCTTGTCCACACAGTGAGCGGCGGTGAGCACATGCTGCTCGCTGACTATGGAGCCGCTGCAGAAGTGACGCCAGCCACCGCGTCGCAGCATCTGCATGGAGATCTGATAGGGCACCGACTGATTCATCTGCTGGCCACCATTGATGCGCAAGATGCTCTGCTCTGCAGCTAGAAGTGTTGTCACTTCCTCGCCAGCCTCTGCCATGGACATCAGGCAGAGACTAACAATGAGGCAAGAGCTCAAGCTCAAGAGCTGTTGAAATTTAGCAGTTGGCATTTTGTCAGTCAACGCTCTACGAATATCTGGCAATCCATAGCATCTTATCTTTTATACCAAATGAATGAATGGATGCGTCGCCTGCAGCTGCAGCTGCAGCTCCGTCTTCATAAATTTGCCTAAGATAAGGCTGACTCAAATACACATAGATAACTGTTGCATATAGATACTTTTTGAGGTCAGTGTCGCAGCCTTAAGCAGATATTGCACTTAAGTCAAGTTGATCGAAATGAGATCAAGTTTGAATGTTGATTAAGCTAGATCTGACAGCTTTATACTCTATAGGAAGCCTAGTTATGTCGCTTCACATTACCTTTTCAGTTCGAATAGAGTTCAGTTAAGAACTATCCATAGCAATCGATCAGCTTTGCGAGCTTTAATCACGTTCCGCTGCGCCTAACTCCATAATCATATTTCATATTCAGCTTTTCGCTTGCCCAAAAAAAGAAGGAAAATAAATGAAATGGCGCTTACAATTATGAACATTTTTGCAGACGCGTGAGAAGGTCAAAAGTGCCTAAAAGAAAAAAGACTGGAACTGAGACTGCGGACTGGAGACTGGAATGGGGACTGGAAGCGGCAGCAGCAGCAGCCACGCAGAGACCGCGACCGAGACCCCAAATAGGAGCTCGCGTTGGGGCTACTGCACAGCTGCAGTTGAAATTGAGATGCAGTTGCAGCTAACACACACACACACACGCACACTCACACACACTCATGCGCCACGTTCATGAACTTTGCTCGCTTAACCTCTTGTGGTTCCTGTTGCAGTTGCAATCGCAGCTGAATTTCGGCTCGCAGCGACTTATTTCTACCTGTGGCAATCTGAGCACCTGGCTTCAACACATATGCGCTGCCGCATCTGAGCTAATTTTCCGTTTTCCTTTGACTAATTTGATTAGTCTTTGCGTAAATTGAAAATGAGCCTCTCAAGGATTTCTTGCACACACCTGCAATCACTTAAATCATTCAGGTGCTCCACTTCGGCCTCAATGCGAAATCAATTCAAATTATGAAAATTGCATTTGCAAATTAAATTAGAGATGCAAATTATAACGAAAATTATATTTATATATATACATAAACATATATATAAACATGTTATCAATAGAGAAGAAGTCTAGGTCCAAAGTTAAGTCCATAAAATTATTGTTGATGCAGTAAAAAAAACATACTTAATTTAATATTTACTGCATTATCTGTTCCCTAAAAGTAAAGCAAATATGAATGGACTTTAGCTCAAATCATTGGAGTAGCTGCAATAGAAGATAGAACAGCTAGAAATACATTAAATGAAAAATGCTCTATGTAAAATATGTGCTTTGCAGATACAGATAAGGACAGACACTTGCTTATAAATATACGTATCTGTGAGTAAGCGTATCTATGAATATGAGCTGAGGTCTAGAAGTGGGCGTGGCTAGGTTTAAATATATCTAGTGATGTATATATATGATATATATATATGATGTATATATATGATATTTATACATGTATGTGAGTATCTGTAGCCCTGCGTCTCCATGTATCCGTGTATCCAAGCAGATGCTTATCTATGTAAGCATCTGCGAGTCTAGATCAAGAAGTGGGCGTAGCTATGACTAAGTCTATCTATATCTATGGAATCTTTTGGGTATGCGTATCTGCAACTATGAATAGCTATATCTATGTGTATATATTTATATTTATAATATTTATTATATTTATATACCATATTATATATAATATTTATATATTAAAATGAGTATCTATTGCTCAGCATCTCTGTGTATCTGTGTATCCAAGCACATGCGTATCTATCTATCTATCTGCCAGTGGGCGTATCTAACTATCTGTACTGTGTACTGTCTGTATTGTAAATCTACAAAGAGTCTTCAAGTATATATATAGTATATCAATATCTTTGTATTCGTTAAGGTAGGCGTGCCTCTGAGTATGCGGACTTTTGAATATATAAACAATTAGAAGATCTTTAGTTGATTTCAAACTTTGTCTTTTTGGCTTGATCTAGGCTTAGTCCCTCATACTCCATAAAGAACACAACAAATTCTGGCCATTGCTCAATTACTTATGCTCCCATGGAAGCCACCCAAGAAATTAGTCGAGCTGGGCAGAGGCAACGTTCAGCTAGTGCCTCACATAACCGAATCCAAATTTAAGAAAGCAATTTCAGCTTTAGTCTGGCTAACATTCCCTTACCTGTTCGCCTGCACACCTGGAGCTGGAGCTGGAGCTGGAGCTGAGCAAGTGGAGGTAGCGCTGCAGACGAGCATCGTTCGCGTGGGTGTGTGAAATAGGGCTCGGAGCTAGTGAGCTATGGGAGCTACAGAATGCTGGGGAGCTGCGTGCTGGACATGAACATGGACTTTGGAAACGGCTGGTGCAGGGCGATGCAGGGCGTGGTGTGGGTCGCATTGCACTCAGCATGCGATTTCATTTTGATAATAATGCCAAAGTCAAATAATTATAATGATCATGATTACAATCATCGATGCGGGCAGCGCCTGTCGAGTCTGTGAGGCTGAGACCCAGGCTACGGCTACGGCTACGGTTAAGGCATTGGCTGTGGCTGTGACTGTGGCTGGGGCTGCGGCTGTTAGTTGTGGCATCATCAACGCAGCAACTTGGCCAAATGACTAAGCAATTTACCGTTTTGTATAGATTTCAAAGCCTCGCATCCATCTACAATAACAACAACTACGCCCAAGCTCCTTCCACTCCGCCCAGCTCTAACTGTGCCTCGGACCATGGCCCTGGCTGCAGACCGCGCGCATCTTCAATGAAATTTCAGGTCAATTGTGTTCTGCGGCTGCGGCTGCGTCTGAGTCTCAATGCCCGCCTGCAACTATGCGCGCCGAAGACCCAAGTCACAGCGAGTGCGAGTCAACCGCAGACTCAAATCCAGACGCAGACGCAGACGCAGACGCAGACGCAGCTCTTGCCAATTTCTATTTTCGTGCAGAATTCTAGCCTCTTTCTTTTGGTGTGTGTGAACTGAGCAGCTGAATACCCTAGCTATAGACTATTCCGATCATTTTGCCAAGCAACTTGCAGCACTCCTGTCTATATGGTCTGTGATTGATTCTCAAATATTTTCATATATTTTACATGTATGTCTAGGCGAATTCGTTTGGAATATAAATTAATATAAAATATATAAAATGTATATAGAAATAAATTAAATATATATATATATAAAGTGTGTATATTTGCATTGTATTTATTAATATAAAATATCAAAAATGTTTTTGTATTTTATTGCAGCACAAGATGCGACAGCTGAATAGGTACAGTGAGGCATTTATAACGAATCATACTTTGTTTTCGTTGAATGTCTCTTATAGTAACTGATATAAAAAAAACTTATCCCAATATATAATAAGTTTGTTTCACAACTTTTACTACTACAGCTTTATGACATCAGCACGTCTAGTTATTTTTTTATCAGCTTAAAAGTAGTTTAAGCTATACTTAAAGGAAACAGCGAACATATTTGCATTAGCTTTGCCATCTCTAGCTCGTTTATACCATGTAAAAGTTTTAGAGATTAATATATATTTCTTATATTTTGGGTGCGATATAATAAAAGTTCGCTATGATTGCATTATTGTTCAAGCTTCGCCTCTCTTAAAGCTTAGTTACTTTGAGCTAAGCCTTTTCCATATAAGAACTTCTGAGCATATTAAAGTAAATTAGAAATATGGAAACTTGAATTCATAAACAGCTCAACATCGCCCACACATCTACTCTCATATCACATCAGTTGCCAATGCCAGCTTTTCCTATATAAGCGAGTTGCCAGAGAGGCAGATCTGCTGAATATTTGGTAAGGGTATTTATGCTGCGACTCTTTGCTCCTCTTCACCTACCCCCGCCCGTTTTTTACTCTCATAGGCCGCATCGCGTAGGCGCTTTCCACAGATTAATTGAAGTCATAAGCAATTGTAAACTTATCGCTTTGGTCTCGGGACGCTGGCAGACGGCGGCTGTGGGGGGCACTCGGATAACTTATTTCGCGTCTCTTAACTATTTTTCAGTTTCGTCTTCTTCTTTAAGTTGCGTTGTATATTTTTGCGGCTTTGTCGATTTATCGATTTGCAGGCAGAAGCAAACCGCATTGACAGTTAGTTTTTTCTGCTGATGCTGCTGCTGCTGCTGTTGTTGTTGCACTTGGTGTTGGCGTTCCTTAATTTGTTGCTATATTTGATTGTGGCACACTTTGCGCAATTATTTGATTGCGTTTCCATTAAGTACCGATACAGTTCAAGAGTTCAACAATCAGTAGCCAATAGCAGCTCATTTATTTCATTCCCCGTTCGAGGTTAAATTCCATTTGCACTCACCCTCCCCTCCCACATGGATTGGCTCGATTCGCACTAATAGCTGAGGCCCGCTGCAAACTGATCAAACAACTACAAAACAAAAACTGTCCAATTGAGTCGTTCACTTAGTTCGTTATCTTTTGTTGAGCTCGATTTGGAGACTTCTCATGCCTCATGAGCTGCACAGCAGTCGAAATGCGCTTACGTAGCTTTAAGATGGATCTGAATACTTCTGGTTAGACTTAAGTTCAATATGAATATAAATAAATGTCATTTTCAATTGGTAATCTTGGACTTGACTCACCCCGCATATGCTCAATTTGTCTTCTCATTTGCACATCAAGTAAGCAACGCTCTTCTATGCACTTCTCATAAGTTCTACTTTAATTTATGAACATCTTCTTTCCTATAAGCAAAAAGTTGTTTTATAACTACCTACATATGCGTATACATTAAAATTAGGCAAAGCGGAGAGCTGGAAACTCAGCTCCAAGAGACAGTTGCAATTAATTTTCAATTAAAGCGGCAGCCACATTTTAATTGTTTGTTTCCCAGCGACAACAGCCAGTCGAATGAATAAACAAACATATGTTCCTGGCAATTGCTATTCATATTTACACGCCAGTTAGGCGGATCCGTCCCAAGGCACCAAATTCTAAATTCTCCCCTTTAGAGAAA